CAGCCATGTTCAGCGGGACCCTTTTTAAAATTTATTAAAATACTGTTTTGGGCCCGAGTTTTTTAAAAAGCCGTTTATTAAAAAGGGCATTAAGTTCAAATGACTTCGTTCTTGTTAAACCCATGCGGCCCTAGGCGGTAGTTTTTCACGGGGAATCCGAATATCAAAGATAGATTTATGTACAACATGTACTTTTTTTGCAACATGTACTTTTTATCTACGGGACATAGACATATGTAAAAACACACGGCGGAGCCGTTCCCGCAATCAGAATTTGTCTAACTATTCTAGATCAAAAGTTATTCAGCGAAATGTGAGACTTTGTTTGGCATGCTCTTTTTTTAGGTGGTTTTTTCCGGTTTTATGTGCCGCCCGGCAGATCTGGCCTGCAGACTTTAGCAGAAAACTTGGCGCATGTGTTCGCACGACCGCTCCCAAAGTTTTACAAGCATATCTCCAGTAGTTGCTTCGCAATGATTTTTTTAGTGACGCCAAAAAACGCCATTTTCGCGGAAAATGGACACCTTGGACGGCCAAAATCACCACTTTTGGCCATGTTTGGCCCTGCACATCCAGGAAGCAAATGAGACTGCTCCGTATAAAAACTGCCCTAGGGGTGCTTTTATGCGCGCATTCCCGTGGTCAAGTCAGATTTTGGCTAAATTCAAATGCCTTGTCTATAAACACTTTTTTCGACCTAAATTTTCACCTGTTTTGTCCCGAAATGATAGCACCCATTCTTTATTTGCCTATTTATCGCGAAGGAGGCAACTTTTTTCCTGTTAAGTATAGATGAAAAATTTAATTCAGCGTTTTAGCGCACGAGGAACAAAAGTCTTCATACAAGCTACCCTCGGTTTCTAATGACTTTTTGAGTTAGGGAAGCGTGGATCTTCTTTTTTTCTTGTTTCCAGGACTTCACATGAACTTCCAACTCAACTCGAATTGTCATCCCGGGCCCACCACGCATCGAAACGACACTTTTCTCGGAACTGGCGAATAAAAAATAGGTCACCAGATGCGCAAGAGTCTGGGATGACAGAATATCAAAACAATAACAGAATCGTTAGTACTTTTTTTGTCACCAGCGCCCTTTTTCTGTTTTCGCGTACATAATCGAGCATAACTTTATCAATTTATACCATATCGACCGATATCGATTGTCACGATAGTGTACTTTTTTTAGGCGCACATGATGGTAAAAAGAACGGCCACCTATTCCCAGCCGTTCTTAAGTTATGCTCTTTTAAAGATTTTACTTTAGAGATGACACACCCTCTCATTTCACTCCATTACATGCTCTTTTTGCTGAATTACGTGGCACAGACGCAGAAAATCATGGTTCGCAAGTCGAACATTTTTGAAGAGCGCATCGAAACGGACATTTTCTTAAAATAACATGGTATACAAAAAGTGCGTTCTTGAGCCTGTAGCAAACGATTTGCATCCATGACATCCCAAAAACTTAAAATAACATATCTCGACTCCTAGAATGAAATCGACGTGAATCCTTAGGGCAGTTAGTGTGTTTTAGTATCATACTTAACACCACAAAGTTTTACGGGGCACTCTACAATACTCTTCCCAAGACGCAAGAAAATGTTCATTTTGGGGGGTCCTCTAACGCGAACTTAATGATAAAATACCGCACTTAGTCCATAAAATACGAACTTAGGCACTATTCGCACTTAGTAAAATAACTTCTCGCACTTAGAACGGGTAATTTATGTAAATTACTTTATGGGGTGACTGCTGAGTTCTAACAAAACTGAAAGATACTGACTAGCTGCTGGCGCGGCGGTTACTTTTCCAGCTATAAATAGATGTTAAACGAGTAGTCTGTAACTATCAGCAGCATCCAATTTCCCCGGC